ACTCTGTAGGTGCTACCCTTCTCCAGGACACACTGTGGATAGAAGGCTCTGGACTCATATCTTCCCCTCCCAACTCTCCTCAGCAGTCAGGGTCAGCCATCCCCAGGATGGGCCTAATACTCAGCCTCTCTGCCCCACTAGCAAGGGATGCTGGAAGAGCCTTGCTTTGGGATGAGGAGATGGCCAGGTGGAGGACAGTCTGGGCCATCTCTGCCTGGGTCCTGCTTCAGACTGGAGGGCCACCCACTCCTTTCCTTACCAGACTCCATTCCCTTGAAAAATGACCCAAAAATCTTGATCCCTGGGTCCTGGGTTCCTGGTCAACTCTTTGAGACCTTCTACTTTGGCTGGTTTTCCAGCACCAATTTCACTCTATTCAGCTCCACCTTCACAGCTCACGGCTGTGTCAGCAGCCTTTGGGCCAGTGGTAACCTCATTAGGACACCCTGGTTACATCATCAGAGGATGCTTTTCTGGAAGAGAGCAACTGAAAAGTAGCAGGGAAGCACGTCTGCTGTTCACTCAGAACAGCAGAGCCTGAGGAAAAGTGGTGGGTCACTGAAGGGTGGGGAAACCGAAAGGACAGAGGGACAAACCCATCCAGTGATGAGAAAGAGCGCAGCGCAACAGACACTGTATTCACAGAGTGCTGAGGAGAACCAGACGGCATAGCCCCTGATCTCAGGAAGTCACTGCCTGGCAGAAGGAAGAGAAGTATCTGAGAGGTATTCACACATAATTAAGGGCATGAAACTGATTAAAATAAATACCTAGGTCCCAAGAATATCCTTGAAATTCTTGGAGTTCATTAAGCTATCTTCCTCTGTCAGCCTCTCCTCAACTCCAGAGATGTTAGGTAACCTGCCCCAGATATTTTCTGTTATATGTCATACCAGTTCCATACATTTGAGGTGTGATCAAACATACAATGACTATTTCAATTAAAAAATTATTACAGGCCAGGGATATAGCTCATTGGCACAGGGCCTGCCTGGAAAACACAAGGTCCTGAGTTTGATTCCTGGTACCAAAAAAAAAAAAAAAATTATTAGAGTAAAAGACACATTGTCATTGATTTCTCTAAAATATGTTCCCCTTCACTTTGAATGCACGTATCCCACTGTTCTTGCCAGATTCTGAAACAGGTCTGGAAGGCCTCTTTCATGAGTATCTTTATGAGGTGTGATCTAAAAGGTGAACGCTGCTGCTGAGTGCCATCCAATGGAAACATGGGATCATAACAACATTATGGTATATCCTCATCCACCTTATTCACTGGATCTATCACTGTGCAACTTCTGGGTCTTCCTCAAAATCAAAATGATCGTGAAAGGTAAATGTTTTTTGAATATGCTCAGAACATTGGGGCTGCCATGACAGTACAACTAAAGATATGAAACAGGACTTTTAGGACTGCTTCAGAAGGTGACAAGAATGATGAGATAAATGTGTTCAAAGCAAGAGGAAGTATTGTGAAGGTTAAAGGCAATGTGTCCTTTATTGTAACGCACTTTCAAAATCTAAATATTCACTGTGGTTTTCTATCACCCCTAATGTACTAAAGGAAAGATATGGAAACTCAAGACACCTGTGTTGAAGTTCTGGGGTGTCATCCAACTGCTTGAACCTTACTGGCTCCATCTGGGAAATGGAGCTGGTACCTGTAACCCTCACAAGGATGCAGTGGGGACTTGGGGAGGTAATACAAACAAGAGGGGTCAGCATAGGGTCTGGGTAAAGTAGACACTTAATGCAGCCTTTAAGAGGGGGGGGGGTGAGGGTACACAGCTAGTTCTGGAAACCTTCCAGAAGGGATTAGACAGTCCTTCACAGAATCTCCCTGACTTATCATGAACATTCTTATAGATAGAAAAAAAAAGAAGATACAAACTCCCTCGCATATTGAGATGAAGGTTGGAGCCTTATTGCTAGAACTTGGGAAGAAATTTAACATACTACAGGACAGATGTGCAGGAAAGAAACTGAGCAAATCTAGACCTTATGTCCTGAAGCAGAGATAGTCTGCCCACCCAGGTCTGCCCCCAGACTCAGAGATCCAGGTCTATGCAAACTGCAAGGCTTGGGCAGTGACAGTGTTCCACCCGCAGGAGCCGCTCTGAGGGTCCTGGAAAGCTCCCACTCACCCTCTGTGCTCCACAGTCTCATACCCACTGCTGACTGCCGCTCCCAGAAGAAGAACTGGAGAGTGCCCAGGCAGGAAACCAAAGGCCTGCCTGTTGATAAACCCAAAGGGTGGATCGATTTCACCACATACAAGGGTACATTCAGTGGAAGAAAACCCAACAAAGGGGCCCATAAGAAAATACCAGTAAGTCATGGTGCTGCACTGCATGCAGAAGGACCAGGGCATGAGTGCTTACCTGCCCCAAAGACTCTGCTGCAGTATTTGGGGAGAGTGCCAAGATATCTTCTCTTTTGAACATGGTATACCAGACAAGGCTTCTATAATAGGAGATAACTGATAGGGACAATAAGGTGATAAGGAAAGGATGAAGGGAAACTTACACCAAGAATTGGGACTGGGGCGTGGCTCAGCGCTCATGAGGCACTGGTTCCACTCCAACGCTATAAAAAACAAAACAACAACAACAACCACACACACACACACACACACACACACACACACACACACCCCACAAATTAAAAACTAAACCCCAGAAGCAATAAGGAGCCAGGTGACATTGTAGGGAACTTGCATCACGGATATGGAGGGTCAATTTGTCAAGCCTTCTCTCAGTGCCAAAGGGACAGCAAGTGAAGACAGATATAAGGGAATACAGACCCCTGAGAACAGAGCTGACCCAGGAAATGCATTTTCCCCAAAACAATTTACCAGGTTCCAGGAAAGAGATTCAGCCCTGGACACATCCCACGTAAGGATTTGAACTTAAAAAATTGAACTAAGCAAACAAAAACTTCCAAAGATAAAAGGAAAAAAAAACCCAAAAAGCAAAAACTCATAAAAGTGACCCTGACTCTCCAAGTGAATGTCGGACACCATGCCCCCAGACCAGCTGGGATGCTCTATGGGAAGTGCTGGCCTCTCGAGCTGCTGCTTGTGGGGGGGGGGGCTTCTCAAAGGCAAAAAGGACTCTATTCAGTAAGTGTCAAAGGACCCCTGGCGATCTGTCAATTCCTTTGATTTCCTTTTTTTTTTTTTTTTTAGGAAGAAAAATATTTTTCCCTACTAATTATGGTTCCTAGGTATAAAGATCCAAAGAGACACTATATGATTTTGGGTTCCATATAATGTGGTCAATGCTCATTTTTTCCATACAAACCCATGGGGCTGTCTCGCTGTTGTAGACTGAGGGCAGCAGAAGACGTCAACTTCTGAATTTGCTGTTAACAGATTACATTCCTTGGGCCCCATTCCCTCATCAACGGTCCATAAAGCCCAGAATCCTGCTCTGCAGAGGCCACCCAGCTGCTGGATCAGAAATCCTGTGCTTGGGTGGCTTTTACAATTGTGTCCAACTGGATAGTGCTGGTGGACTCTAAGGTCAAATGCAGCTGTCACAGCACAAGTGTGCAAAGCCTGCGCCGCCTTGGTGGACTGGCCTCAGCCTGGACCCTGAACCTTAGGCCTCAGCTCCATCTTCTCAGCTCATCGACCTACAGGGCTCCGAGGAAAGTATCATTACTCACCCATCCACATGGGGAACAGATCCAGAAAGGCACGGTGTTCTGCCCACCCTCTTGGCCAGTTGCTAAAGGAGACAAGCTATGAGCCCAGGTCTGCCTGTCCACAGCTCTGTTCCTTTCAGTCACTGACCATAGCTGGGTGGACCTCAGGGGTCCTATTTTTCAGCCATGAACCTCTCAACTTTGCGTCTATGGCTAAGAGCTGGTTTGTGTGGCCCTTCCCCTTTAGACGATGAGAACAGGCCGGAGGGTGGTGTCACAGACTCTGCCCTCAGAGAGAGCAGATGTCCTTCTGGGGACCTGAAGCATTTCCAGGCCAGAAAAGGACTTAGGATTTAGTTCCAAGTGGATTACAAAGAGCTCAGGAAGACAAGTCTGATTTATAACCATCACACCTCACTGTCACCAGCTCCTGGGCCCTGGCTCCACCATGTCACAGGCTTCAGGTCTCTGGAGCCAAAGATTTCTTCAGTAAAGGGTCCACCTAGGTGTCAGCACTGCCCTGCACAGATCTCACAGCAGAGCCCTTGGACGGCTCTCAGCTACCACACTGGAAGGCAACACTAGATCCCAGTGTCATGAGCTGGGCTGGAAACAGGAGTCAGTCATGGTCAGAATGGCAGCAGCTGCTCCAGGATCAAGTAGCCCTCTGGAGCCAGCCTGGGAAGGGTGGGGACCCTGGAGCCAAGCAGTCTGGGCCAAGGGCCAACTCTGCTTCCCCTTGTTCTCAGTGACCTTAAGACAGTTCCCTGGCCTCTCTGCCCCTCTGGTTTGGCCTTGTGAGCAGGCAGCTGGAGAAAATGGTGCCCCCTTCCTGTAAGGTGAGGATGGATTAAAGCAAGCACAAGGTCACTGCTCAGTAATGGTCAGTGTGATGGAGATGACACTGGTAGAAAATGGCAGAACTAGGCCACAGAGAAAAGAGAAGCTGGACTCCACTTCCACACACTGCCCTTGTGTCCTGCCTCCCTCGCACAGAGGCCCCATGTCCTGCAGGGAGCTGCTATGCAGGGAGCACCTCAGGTAGGTGGGTCACAGCCGGGGAGCCCTGCTGCACATGCGTGGGGGCTGGCAGTTGCAGCCTGGGAATCTGCTGGTCTTGGGAAAACCGAAACTGCTCACATATGGAACCCATAAGGATTGCAGTGCCTCCCACTAACTGTGCTCTACTGCTAAGACATATGTGCTCAGAAAACAGAATTTCATGTTGCTGGTGACATGGCTCCATGTTTATGTGAAGGGGTGGGGGTTTGTACCTAGTGTGGAGATTAGTGACAGGTTATGGGCTTTGCAGTCAGCAGTTCTAAGGAACTGGTACAAGTTATTTAACTCACCTAGGTCTCCATTTCCATTTTTGGCAGGATGGGCATGATTCCAGTGTTGCAATGCTGTTGTGACAATCAGAGTTATTTTATGAAAGCTTTTACTACATCAATAATAATGACAATTATAACACTACCACTAACAACTAACATCCATCAGTATTTACTGTTTGCCAAGCATTGTGAGAAAGACTTCTCAGCCATAAGTTCATCCTTTTATTCAACAAATGTGTCTCCAGGGCCCGGCATGTTCCCTATGCCAGGAACAGTGCAGGGAACAAGACCAACACAGCCCCTGCTTTGGTGGAGCCTACAGAGATGTCAGACAGTACACAAATAACTGCACAAGTAATAATTTAATTAAAACTGTAATAAAAGAATAATGAAAGAGAAGTTCAGCCCTCCATCTGAGTAAATGCCATTATACATGTTTTCTAGATAAGAAAACTAAGGGTCAGAAGGATTAGGCAACTTGCCCAAAGCCACATAGCTGGTAAGTGGCTGAGCTGGTTCCCAAATCTCATTAAATGGAAACTACTATGCCTACAATGGCATTGGAATTTAAGAACATCTACAGAGAGCCACAAACTTCCCAGGGCTGAGTCTCTAGCTAAAGAGCCACTGCTTAGAGCAAAGGAGGAATCAGAACGCTGCTCAAGAGCAAAAAAGTTTACTTTTCCTCCATGCATTTCCATACCATGGGTCACAAAGCTTTGTGTCACCTCATTCCGGAAGGCAGCCATCAAGATGAGGGACTTTAGGACCTTCAAGAGTAGACAAATGGGCTTAAGAGTAACAAACGTTCTGTTTTTGAAAACCCAGAGTAGCAGGTGTCAGCACTAGGAGATGACCCAGTGTGATGCTGAAGAGGACCCCTGAGTGAAAAGATCAGGCGGCCACAGGGCCTGCAGCGAGAACCTGCAGACACAGCCCTTTATGCAGCGGGGCAATGGGTAGCTGGTCCACCATCCAGCAAAGCGGATTTCAAATATGAAAATCATCCCCCAAACCCAACCCAGGCTGTTAGGGCCCCACCATGCTCTTTCTCATCTTGCTCTGGTTACCCTAATGTTACTTTCACTTCACTCGTTTACATAACACTTTCATGATTCTTCCCAATGCAGCACCTATATTACTATATTTTTTAATGGCAGAAAAATATATATTATAAATCTGACCATTAAAGACATTTAGGACCTTCATGATGCTCTGTAACCAGTGTCACTATCCTGATCCAGAACACTTCCCTCACTCAGAGAGGAAATGCCAACATTTCCTCATTCCCCTTTCCAGCCTGGCAACCACTAATCTGCCCTCTATATTGATTTGCTGACCTTGGATAGTTCATGTAAATGGAATCCTACAATATGAGGCCTTTTGTGTCTCGCTTCTTTCTCATAGCATAATATTTTCAAGGCTCTGCTAAATTGTACCGCTAATCAGGGGTTCTTTCTTCTTTGTGGCTAAGCAGTAGTCTGCTGAGTGTGTATATTACTTTTTGCTTCTCTGTTTGTTATCAGGTGTTTCTACCCTTTGGCTACTGTGAACAGGCTGCTATGAACATTTGTATATTAGTTTTTGTTTGAATATCTGTTTTTTATTCTTTCAAGCACATACTTAGAGTTGAATTGCTGGGTCAAGCTGTTCTTTTTAACTTAGTTTTTTAAAGTGATATTATATCAGTTTTCAATGGAGTTAAGAAAAAAAAATAAAGTGATATTATGGATCTGATGTGCTAATTTCATGAAGAGAAACACTAGTGATTTAAGTAGGAGAGGCTACCCACAGTGCCATCTAAAATCAGCACGTGTGCACACTCCGGGAAGCTCAGCTGTGTTCCTGTGTTCACTGTCCATAGGGGCTGGGAGATAAGGCTGACCGGGTCAGGAATTACCTGAAGGGCCAAGGCCCAGTGAGAGGAAGCCAGAGGGATGAGCTTTCCATCCCTGCAGGCAAGCAAGGTTAAGCACAGCAGAGAGGAGAAGACCTGGAAGGAAGGCACAAGAGGGTCGAGGCCTCTGGTGCCACTGGAGATGACTTCAGAGTAGAGGCCCTGGGAGGAACCTGGGGCTGATCTCAAGCTGCCCACTCCTGACCCAAGTCGTCGCTCACCTTCTTGAGACTGGTTCACGAGGTATCTGAGGAGCAGAGGGCAAGTCAAGGGCAAAGGGGTTTATTCTCACGCATCCTCCAGACTTTCTCCAGCTGGGAGAGTGCCCCAGCTCAGAGACCACTGTCTGGATAATGATGGGTTGCCTGGAAAGAAGAGGACTGATCTTGGTGGGGACTTTTTATCTCTGGCTTAAATTATACATGTGCTAATGTTAACTTTGTTGTTTCCTATAATTCAAATAAGACATAAACATACTCCGAGAGAAAGAGTGTCTCCATTCATTACTGAGACCACCTCAACCAAATAAAGGTATGACCAAACCTATTTACAGTTTAAGCATCTTCCAGTTGTTTTTCTCTTAAAATCTATAGTGGTAGTTTCTACTCCAACAAGGAAGGATGCTCATCCTCAAGAATCACAATCATGATGGCTTTGTGTCAGGGAGCAGGCAGGCATCAGTCAAATTCATGGCACAAGGTTATGGAGAAAAATGTTTAGGAGCTCTGAGCAGAGAAATAGATCAGATAAACATAAGTTAACAGGAACAGCCTACCATCTGAAAATCTATCATATCATTACAGTGAAAATAAACTCAGTGAAGAAAGCAGGCATGAATATAATGAAACAGCAAATCTACACACAGCTGTAGCAGAATAAGGTGGTAAACTTTAGGGTTTCCAAAGCCTAAAAGTGTTGGTATCTTTTGACTAGGTAATGTACCTCTTAGGAATTTACTCTGAAGTAATAATTCTAAAAGAAGGGAAAACATGGTATACACAAAGGTCTTTATTATAAGGAAATCTACAAAACAACAAAAACTGTAAACACTTCATTGTCAAATAGAGAAACAGATAAGAAAATTAAAGTGCATGGAAAAAATACGGAAATATGAAGTACTGGAACACAGGATTTTAAGTGTTTTTGTTTTGTTTTGGTTTGGTTTGGTTTTTGGTACTGGGGATCAAACTCATGACCTTGTGCTTGCCAGGCAGACACTTGTGCTGCTGAGCTAAACCCTCCAGCATTAAGTGTTTTTTAAAAGTTTTATAGCATTGTTATAGTTGTTGGGATATTTTAAACAAAGGAATGTGCTAATTTTAAAATAAGATATAACTTTCTTCCAGCCATTGATATTTATTTTTCAGACAATCTTCATAGTGTAACAACACACACAGACACACACAGACAATGTAAGTATAAGTCAACAAGCACCAAACAACAGTGGTTTCTTCCCCAAATACCAGGAAATATACCCACCTCTTCTCTATTATGGTACTGGCAGACCACTGTGTGCTCTCAGCCTACATCGAGTGAAGCCTATGACTCACAGTACCTGGTAGAGCCCAAAGAGATGGTCTGGGGACCTGCCCATCCCACCAACCCACTAGGACCTATGTGTACTCCTCTGCCAGCCACCCAGAGGCCACCAGAGGTGGACCACTGACCCCATCCCAGGCTCTGTGTGATTTGTCATCTCATAGACCCCTGGAGGTGCTCAAGACACCGGATGGTACATGTTACCTCCCCTTTTCAGACTCTGCCCAGATTACAGCCTGAGACCAGGGCTCCCAGACACTTGTGGAGGGGGTTGTCAGGACAATCACCGAGTTGCTGATTCTCCGGAAGGGCCCCATTACCTGTGAGGGCCGTAGGCCTGATACTAGGAGCTGGGCACTGGAGGGAAGGCCTGTGTCCCGGGTGCTCTCAGAATGTCCCAAACCAAGCACTGGAAGTCAGAGTGCCCCTCCCACTCCTACCCATAGACCTGGGAGAGGCTGGTTTTTCCACAAATGAATGTGACAAGTACTATGCACTGGAATGGGCTATGAGATGCATATCCCAACAGACAAGTTTAGAGCAATGGTTTAGCCACACACAGGTAGCCAGGCAATAAAATTTTATGCCACAAATATCTATATTCAAAACCTTAACAAGAAGAACACACTTTTTAAAAACTTAAAAATGCAGCAGCAAAATCTGTCAACTGTCATTTTTTGGGGGGGGACCCTTTATGCTAAGATTATGCCCTGCTTATAAGTTGGTGTCTAAATTTTCCTTTCTGTAGGAAATGATGTTGATAGTTTATTTTTTCACTTCTTGACATTAAAAAAAAAAAAAAAAAAAAAAGCTGGCAGCCTCCGGAGAGTCTCCAAAGCTTCTTTTTGAAGTTTCATTTGCCCATGAAACTCTGTGTCTGGGCCTCTGGCCTGAGATCACACATGGTTTCTCTGGCAGAAGGCAGCCTTGGAGTGGCACAGGGTGAGCCAGAGCTGAAAACTCCCGAGGGTGGCATCTGTGCAAGCGAAGCAAGATGGCCAGGGAGGGGGCAGCTTTGTGCTGCTGCAGGGTGGAGAACCTTTTACACTTGAAGAAGATTTGAGGGCTGAGTATGTTAGGAATTTAGATCTGGCACAAGTCTCAAGCTTGAGTTCATTTTGTCCCTCATTTTTCCTGCCAGTATACAGATTACCCAGAGGTTCATCACCTCAACACTAATCCGATCAGCACCTTGAGGCCTAGGACTGTCCTCTACCAGATGCCAAACAGCAAGGCCCAACCTGTGCCCACCTCAAGAGGCACCTCCCAGCTGTCATATAGATTGCTAAGAACGGCTGTGGGAAACCACCACCATGGAACCCCAGGTTTTTCCCCAGTGGGGTACTGCCCCCTAGACTTTCCCATTCCCTTTAGGGTTTCCCCACAGTTGCTGCCCACCCAAACCCCAGCTGTCCTCTTTGAGGGTACCCTGCCTCCCAATGAACAGCCTGGTCTCCTGGCCCTATCTATCTGCACTAGTTTTCCATCCTCCTCTCCAGGACTTGCCTGGTGACAAGGCCAGCCTGTTCTCCATATCACTGTACTCCTTACCTCCATCAGGGACTCCTTGGCCAGTCCTATGCTTATCTATGTACCTTCAATGTCTGTCATAATTTTTTAAGGTTTAAAAACATAT